CTCATCCACCCACCCCTGTAACCTGTCTAGGTCTGATTGCAGCCTATTCCTCCCATCTTGCATGCCCACGTCCCCCCACATCTTAGTGTCATCAGCAAATTTGAACAGGGTGCTTTTTACCCCCTTGTCCAAGTCACTGATGAAGATGTTGAACAGTGCAGGCCTGAGGACCAAACCCTGGGGGACCCCACTGCCCACATCCCTCCAGATCGAAAATGACCCATCCCCCACTACTCTCTGGGTGCGGCCCTCCAGCCAGTTAGTGGCCCATTTGACTGTGCAGGTGTTGACACCACAGTCCCCTAGTTTTTTAGTGAGAATGGGGTGAGAGACAGTGGCAAAAGCCTTCCTAAAGTCTGGAAAGACTACGTCCACTGTGACACCTGTGTCTAAGGATTTGGTGACCTGGTCATAGAAGGCCACCAGGTTGGTCTGACAGGACCTGTCTCTAATGAACCCATGTTGGTTGCCCCTAAGCATAACCTACCCTGCTGGCCTCTCGTGGACATGTGCCAGGATAATTCTCTCAAAAAGCTTACCCAGGATCGAGGTAAAGACTAACTGGCCTATAGTTTCTTGGGTCCTCCTTCCCCCCTTTTTTGAAAATGGGAACCACGTTGGCCCTCTTCCAGTCCTCTGGCACCACACCAGAGCACCACGAGTGCTCGTAAAGCCGTGCCAGGGGTCCCACAATGACCTCAGCTAATTCCCTCAGCACTCTGGGGTGGAGATCGTTAGGATCAGTTGATTTAAATACATCCAGTCCCTCCAGAAGTTCCCTGACTAGATCCTCACTGACCCTTGGCCTGGGTGTGCCTCCCCTGGGGCCTGAGGGGGAGGTTACTGGTTACTGAGGGATAATCCCTATCTTTGGAGGTTTTTAAAAACAAGTTATACAAACATCTGAAGGCATGGTCTATCTGATCCCAGAGGTGTATCTGATCCCAGAGGAGAGGGATGAACTAAGTGATCCCATGAGTTTTCTACCAGGCCTACATTTCTGCAATTCTCTTATATAAAACCACCTTCATGTTTACAAAGCCCTTCAAAGCTACAGTTTAGAGGTGTTTTAAAAGCACTCAGTAGAGTTGAGTGGAGAAAACATTTTTTTAATTGCACCCATTTAAATTGTGTTGGAATATCACAATTTAAGAAAATGGATTAGCTCAGTTTTATAAAGGGAGGCAAGGAAGAAAGCAGTAAAAACATTGTCAATTTATTTCCCCACTTTTTTGTTCAGGGTTGAAGAGTTGCATGATTTCTCAGTTACAAGGGAAAAAAAAAGGCTGACAGGCTAAACAGTCTGATTCAAACTCACTTGATTCTCTTGGTTATATGCTCATACAGTATGCAATCCACAGAAACACTTAGCCTGTGACCACTACAGTCTTAGTTACGTTCCAACATTGCAACAAGTGAGAAGGCTGAAAAAGGGATTAGGGACAGCCAACCCATGCAAGCCATGGATGCAGGCCACAAACGGCATGAACAAACAGCTGCTATGTGTGGCATATAAGCTCCAAGGCACTTATAAATGGAGGTACCAGAATGGAGGGGAGAGAGGGGCTCTAGCCTCCTGGCATCCTAAGGCACAAATTCTATCAGGTACATCTTTAGAGGGGGGAATTGGAATGGTACTCAGGGAAGCGCCGCAGCTTTATTTGTGGCATGCCAGCCAGAAAGGTTGGCCAGCACTGCTTTAGATGTTCCAAAAGATGTGTACAATGGAGCACATCTACATGTGTATTAATGCACTTTAGTTAATGCGCATTAAATCAAGTACCTCCATTTTTACATGTGCTGCCAATACAGCACTAGACACTTTTAGTGAGCTGTACTAATTAAAAGAGCCCATGCATCACGTGTATCAGTGGTGCAGGATGCCTCGTCACTGAGAAAATGGTGGCGGTGCGCTTTGAACTAAAGCACATCAAATGTGTGTTGGTTCCAAGTGTACTGCCACCATTTTCTCAGTGTGGAAGCTCATTGCACCACTGATACACATGATTCATGAGGCTGCCAGAGTCGATTTCCATGCTCCAGCAGACTTGACTAATTGAGTCTTCCCTGACGTGCTGGATTTCCAGCGCATTGGAGCAGGTTCCCCACATGTGTGTAAGTGTGGTACTAGGAAAATGTGCATTAGCCTGTTTTAATGCACATTAACTAAATAGCCCTTTTTTTAGTGACATTTGAATGTCCATTAAAATAGGGTAATGAACATTAAACCACATGTGTAGATGTGCCCACAGGAAGTTTAAGTGTGATGATTACCTTCTCTCCATTCCCATTTAAACCTCAAATGTGCTTTGATAATGAAAAGAAAATACATCTTACTCTGAAACTCACTTATCTCAAGTTGCCATGCCCATGCATTGTGAACACAATTCAAATCCGATCAAAATCAGTGATGATTCTTTATTAACTACAATTATTTTTGCATCTGGACCTAGCAGGAGAAATCCACTGGTTATGATCTTTGTCTTTGCAGTAATGGCCACCAGCATAAAATGGATAGTTATGTACATCATGCATTACTGAAAAGAAATCTGACTGTTATTAAAAAAAAGAGTTTGTATCAAGGATGTTCATTTGTACTTAATTTTTTCCATTAGATGGCTTTCTTTGAGTTCTAAAAACAAACAAGTATTTTTTTTAGTTTTAATGGTCCTTGTTAATGGCATAATCTAAAAGTTTCAATAACAAAAATAAGTCTCTGTAGATTAAAAAATAATTGACTCCTGTACAATTAATATATATTTTCCTTATCTTTCCAGGGCATTTGGGTCCCTGAAGGAGAAACTGTAAAGATTCCTGTGGCTATTAAGATTCTTAATGAGACTACAGGCCCCAAGGCCAATGTGGAGTTCATGGATGTAAGTAACATGCGCAGCCTCTATGTTTAACATGCTTAACATGCTAATATAGTAGTGAAAAATATCACACTCTAATATACAGAAACTGTAAAAATATCTTTCCATTTCTTTTAAAATTCTCTAGGTGTAAATATTGAAAGGCCTTTAGGCACCCTGATATTTAATTAATGTTAAAGCATTGTAACCCCAAAAGCATGAAACACATTTAAACAGCAGCGGAACTGAACTGGTCAAGTTTTGTATACAGCCATCCACACACCAAAACCTCCAATCATGTTGGAAACTTGTCCTTAGCCTTGTTGTTTTAACAAGTCATAAAAAGTAAGGTCCATAGCCTCAGGTGGAATATACTGGCCTAGGTGCATTTAAGCTAACAGACCTCAGCAGAGGCACACCAACAGATATTTATCCCTAAACATTTGTCATACTGAGATAATTCTAGTACCCTAGTGAAATCTAATTCCTGGATGGTGTCACAGGCTGTTGAGGCAAAACCAATGTGTAGTACAGAAAGGGCCAAATTCTCCAGTTTGTCAAAGCTGCTGGCTATAAAATGGCTTGAGACTACAAATAGACAATTCTCTCTTTTTAGAGATTTTTTTTCTGCCAATGGAAAGCTAAGGGAAGAGTCTCCTCTACTATCTGTGCCAGCTACCCCATCCTCTCAGAGGAAGCAGAGGTCAGAGCACAAGTGGAAAGGGGCCAGGATGGAACAAAACCTTACTATGTGTCTCTTTTTCTGAAGCCTCCAGTGGCAGAAATTAAAGCAAAGCTCCCTATTACTTTAACTTACTTCAGATCCAGATGCTGATGGTTTAGGAGCTGCAATCAGCACTAAGCATAAATGAAGAAAAAGAGAAGAGAGAGTACATTAAAGTCTCCTTAAGTAGTCTAACATATTATTATTAAGAGCTTTGGATCAGGCTTTACAAGTTTTATATTCACAGAGACCTTAAGTTCAATTGTCAGTTCTGTGCTAAGAAAAACCACTACTGACATCGTGAACATGCATGTCGTGGGATGACAATATTTTGACAATCGATACAGGTTTGTACTTTTTTTTTGCAAGCCCTAAATTAAAAAATTTCTCTTGTGAACCTAAAATTACATAGGACTTCGGCATTTTTAAGGTCTGTTCAGTGTGTGTGTAACTTGATTAGCATTAATGAGAGCATAAACCAAAAGGAGACTATACTCCCATTATGTAGTCTACTGTCTCATCTACAGATGAGTAGAAATGTACAATTACAGCTTCAGATATTTCAGACAAATTACCATGCATGAATTTTTAGGCAATCAGACTAAAGCTGTAGAGATTAAGGTTTCTTAACACTGTTCGCAGAGTACTGTACATTCATGCTGATGGCATCAATAACCATGGTGCGCAAACAAAGAAGTGAGCAAAATACCATATTTCCTTGATTTCAAGTCGATGCTTCTCTCCCCCCATTTAACATGGGGGTAAAAGCCCTTTGTCCTGGAATCAAGTACAAGGTGGTGGTGATGGTGGCCTGGGAGGGAGGGGGAGGCAGACCGCTGCTGCAGCTTCAGCTTTAGCTTTGTTCCCAACCCCTCGTTGGGGCCAGAGCTTCAGCTGATGCCTTCCCCTCTGTTGCCTCTGTACCTCCTGCCTCTCTCCTGCACAGCCAAAGGCATCTGCCCTCCCTTCTCCCCATCTCCCTCTCCCCCAATCTCCCCCACACAGTGTCTGCCAGTCACTGTCCCTCCCAACTTCTCTCACTGCTTACCCTTGCCTCAGAGCCAACAGACTCTGTCCCTTCTCCAGCCCAGGGCATAGAGCCCATCCCCGTGGCTTTGGTGCTGGTTCTGTGCTGCTGCTATGTATCCTACAAGTGCTAAAGCAAGGGTGACTCCAGTGGAGAGGGGCAGGGGGAGAGTGGCATGCAGGGGACAGAGACTGCAAGAGGGTGGAGAGGCAGGGGGAAGAAGATGGGGGCAAAGGGCAGGGGGCTCAAGACTACGTAGAGAGGCAGAAGCAGTATGGGAGGGAAATGGGATAAGTGAGAGCCCAAGGTTGTGGGGTGGTAGGTGGGGGCAGAGACTGGAGGGGGTGGGGGAGAGCAAGGGGCAAGCTGCCTCTGCTCATTTATCCCTCCACTGACTCCACTCCACCTGCCTCCTGCAGCATCCCGCACTGCCAGCCCCCCTGCTAATGCATTCCCCACTGCAGTGGTGGTGGAGATCAATTTAACACGATCCTCCACTGATTACACTACATGGACAATTGCAGCAAATTTATAAATTTTGCATATAGAGAATCTAATTTTGGGGAGGTTGCCTTAAATTCAGGGTTGTCTCAGTTTCAGGTACATATGGTAGGCCAGACTGACTTCTGGTTTGATGGGAACCTGTAGTGGGGAAAGGGGCAAGAAGGATTAACTATTTGCTTCGTGCACAAAATAATCGTGACACTTCAAAAATATTAGTAACTATACATTTCTCTTAAAGAAGCCCTAATACACAAGCCAGGCACTGACACAGGTGTGCAAGGAAGGTGGGTCTATTCAGTGGGAACTGTGCCTCCATACTTTGTGCCAGAAGTGTGAAATAGGGAACAACTAAACAAATCCAGTAGGTCTTGAAACACTTTAGAAAGAAATGTAAGTAAAGATGAGGCACAGAGAGGCAACTTGATTTGTCTGAGTTCATCTAGCATCTCAGTGACAGAGGCAGGAGGAGACACCAATCTCCTGGTTCTGTTCACTGTACCCCATTGCCTTTAGAATACATGACAATATATATGATAAATTGCTCAGAAATAAGGGATGTCACCTTGATAGCTATAGTTGTAATATGTATCCAAAGCAGTCATATTAATGGTGATTAGGTGCAGTCCCTCTGCAAATTAATGTCTGCCTTCCTCCCATTCGCCTGCACCCCCAAGCCTGTTTCTTGTTAATGATCACAAGGTGAAGAAAATTACAAGATAAGATTGCTTTTAGTTCTGACAGATAAAAACCCTGGGCCAGCTTGTCAACTGGTGTAAATTACTGAGTTTTAGGTGTAAATTACTCAGTTCCATTGAAGTCAAAAGAGTGATATAGCTTAACTATCAATTTTCCTCCAGTACATATAACTGTTATGGAGGAGCAGGATGGGATGGCTGTATGGTAGTTTTTCCCCAAGCATTTTAAATAATTGCAGATAACTATTTATGACAGCAGATTCAATTTAATTTTACTGTGTTTCTTTGCCAGGGATAGTGTTTTTGCATCATTTGTGTTTGAAATAAATAGGAGTCCAATCCTGCACCCATTTGATTTTTTTTTAAACTATATTTTTGTAAGAGAAAGTATTGAGCATTGTCTGCACTTAAAAGTCTACATGCTTTCATTATAGAAGGATAGAAATGATTTTTGTTGATTTATGTTTTTCTGGTTTGATGAAGGGAAATAAGTTACAGTAGTATAATCAAAAACATGCCAGTGCAACTGTACTTGCACTTTGTCTGGCATAGCTAGGTTCGTTAAAAAAAATGCCCCTAATTGACATTGTTATGCCAGTAAAACTGCTTAAAGGCAGTTCAGGCCAAAGTCAAAGCAGTTACGTTGTTTTGGAAAGGCAATTTTACAAATTGTCCTTTTGACTTAGATAGTTAAAAGCATGTAGGGTCATATTTTTAAAGGTATTTGGGTGTCTATCCTCCATTTGGAGTGTCAGCAAGGTCATTCTTAAATAAACTTCAACTGAAAATGGGAGCAAGAATTAAATGGAAGTGAGACCCTTCAATACCTTTCAAAATCTGACCCTTAACCTTCAGGTATCCAGTTCAACTACACATCTTGACATGAATCATTTCCCATGAAGTGATATATGTTTTTGCCTTTTCAAGTGATGAATTAACATGTTTCTGTGACAGTGTATGTAAAATGTAGAAATCGTTGCAATTTGTATTTTAAATTCAGGTATAAAACTGTGTCTTTTAGATCTCTCCACCCCTTTAGTGACCTAGGGAGATATATAGAAATATTCAATACAAGACTAAAATATTAGCAATATGGCCTGTTGGTTCTTCTAAAACTTTTACTGTTGACAGGAGGTAAGCCAGAGTGTGCTTTATGAGTGGTTGAAATTCTGCTAAATGTTGTGCTAAAGGAGAACAAGGCATGGCAATTTGGAAACTGGGCTGTCATTTCAGCACCCTTGAACACCTACTAATGGATCTATAATGACTATAATGACATAATGCATCATGTTAGTACATGGTATGGACAGCCACCTCCTATCCTGTTCCCATCAGGGGACGCTGAATTGAGTGTCATAAAAAAAAATGCATCCCTAACTTTGAATATTTTTTCTGAGAAGCACAGCAGGCAGTATTTTTCTTGTTTTCTTTAGTCATCCCTGACACAGTCTTTTTATGCTTTCTCTCTTACTTTTCTTTCTTATCTTGAACTTATCACTATAATAATACATATGCCCTTTTCATTTCTAAACAAAGCAAGGAAAAGTCCACTCTGAGAACTATTCAAAGCCAGGGCATCAATGACAGGGAAAGTCAGCAGCAATTCAGCAGTGGGGAAGTTGTCTGGGTTGGCAGCATGTCAGTGGCAAGGGAGCAGCCGCAGTCTGCCTTCAGAGCAAGCTGCGCTAATTTGACCTACTACTCCTAAGAGGTTGTTGACCCCTGGTCTAATAGAGAGAGTTTTACATTTAGTTTTGTAGGCAATGATGTTTATAACCATTCTCTTCTATGGGGAGTACTATAGTCCGGTGCAGTTAATTTCAGCATATAATTAGGTTTGCTAAATCAGTCCTGATTGGAAGAGTACATCTGATCCCCTCCAGAAATCTGTTTGAATTGACAGTGCCATGGTTTCTGTTGCCGGTCTGTCTGCAAGCACGTACTGGAGAGAAGTAGTGAACGTATCCAGAAGGCCTAGGAGGTATAAAGACCTCTTCAGAGGTTAAATGAAATCTGCCTTCTTCCTCAGAGTTAGCAACAGTAAGGGAGCAGGCTCTTGGTGTAAGAGGTCTAC